AAACTAATACTAGTACTACTTCTAAAAACTACAACTCGTAATAATAATAAAAAATAGGAATAATGATAGTGATATATTAATAACAAGAAAAATAATCAAGAGTAATGATAGTAATACCATTGATACTATTACTGCAACTAGTGATGATAATAATAATCATAATTATAATAATTGTTATAATAATGATAATAATGACAATTATGATAGTAATAACAGTGATAAGAACATCAACCGGAGTAATAGCAACATAAATGAAAATAAATCATAATAACACAGATGAAGATAACTGGCAAGGAAGCAATGATAACAGTGACAAAAATGAATCGATAACAAAGTATTTTGTCACACTCACACGCACACATCTACGAGATCCACGTGATTCTAAAGAGAAGTAAACAGTCAATTTCATTTCCATTTTCACAGTCAGGAGTGCAAATTTGTTTACTGAATTTATGAACATGTCATGGACCATCTATATTCTGCGTGATATCGTGTTTCGAATTTTGTCTTTATCATTGTCATAATGTGAGGATGTGATAGGAATATTATTTGCTTTATTGACCTTATCAGTATTTGCATCAACATTATACTGTTTTAATATTTGCTGTACATATTATATATATATATATATATATATATATATATATATATATATATATATATATATATATATATATATATATATATATATATATATATATATATATATATATATATATATAATAATATATATATAATATGTATATACATATATATATATATATATATATATATATATATATATATATATATATATATATATATATATATATATATATATATATATATATTATATATATATATATATATATATATATATATATATTATATATATAATATATATATATATTCATATTATAATATGTATATATATATATATATAATATATATATATATATATATTATATAATATATTATATATATAATATATATATATATACATATATATATATATATTATATATTAATATTTATATAATTATATATTATATATATATATATATTATATATATAGATATACATACAAATTATATATTGTATGTGTTGTTGTTTTGTATGTTTCTATATTTACTTCCTTTATAAATTTTATATTAATTTATTTAATTTACGATTTATGAGTCTTTTTCCTTTAATCTAATTTAAGTATTATTTTTTTTTTTCTCTCTCTCTTTATTTTGTGATATCATAGTTATCAGTAATAATACTCTGATAACCCTGGAATAATGCTGCATGATACTGCTGATGATAATAATCATGCTAAAATAAAAGGATAATTTTGGTAATAATGGAAATGATAACAATGACAATGATGATAATAGATAAACAATAATAAGGATCAGTGGTCTCAATAATTCTGATAACTATAGGAATAATGATAATGATATAATAAACAAAAAAATGATAACCAAGAGTAATGATAGTAATACCATGATATTTACTGCAACTAGTGATGATAATAAATCATAATTATGATAATTGTTATAATAATGACAATAATAAAAGTACTACTTACTACTACATTACTAATAACGCTACTGCATTTCATAATAACGATAATAATGATAATAATAATGATGATAATGATAATAACAATAACAATAATTATAAGAAAATGATAATAGTAGTGATGATAATAGGAATAATGATGATTACCAAGATAGTAATAAGGATAATATTAATAAAACTAATACAGAATAACAAATGTAGCAAGGAATGACACAATAACAATGATTATGATAGAAAATAACAAACAACACAACAACACCATAAACAATACGAAATAGTGGTAATAACAATATAAGTAATAACAATGCTAAAAATAAATAGTAATTATGATGATAAACAAGAAGGAAAATAGACTAATAAAAAACAATAAATAGTGCTACTACTAATAACATTAGTATTAATGATAACAGCGATAATAATGTTTAATTATATAATAGTACATTATTGATTGATATGATAGTATGAACAGACAATAAACAGCATCATTGATCATATTGATAACATCTTAAAGATAGTGATTAATCAATGATATATAGTGATAATCAATTTAATGCTGATAATGATGATGATGATGAAAATGTTGATATATAAGAATAATAATTATATTTATTTATTATCATTATTATTATTGTTATTATTACCATGATTAATTTTTATAGCAACTTATCCTAATTGCTATTATTGTTACTTAATTACCATTAGTTATTGCCCAGTATAATTACAATAACTATTATTATCATTAACAGCATATCTCATCATATTATCATCATTATTATTTGGGAAAGGAAGGGGAAGTGAAAAGGGACTGGGGCAGGAGATGAAATTAAGAGAATGTTCAACGATATGATGTAATATGGGAATAATATAAACAATAAAGAGGAATAAGAAAAAATAGGAGAGAAAAAATACTGTAGAAGAGGAATCCAAGAGAAGAATCAGAGAAATTATATGAAAGGATACCTGTATCGTAGAATAACAAGAAAAAGAATATAGAAGAATAAGAGGATGGAAAGGATAGAAGAAACGAGTGAATAACATCAGTGGGTAAGGATAGGATAGAAGGATAGGGAGGAGAGGGGGGTAAGGGGGGGTAGGGGCATCGTGGATGATGGGACGATATCGACGTAATGATTAAACCTCCCATCTTTCTCGGCAGTCGGTGAGCGTGGGATGCGGGCAGGGTGGGAGGGCGGGAGGCGGGGGGTGGGGGAGGGGGGGTGCTCCGGAGGGCCCGGCGGGTATGCTGTGCTTCGTTCTGCTGTGTATATATATGTGGTATATATGTCTAGATTGATAGGTTTATTGATAGATAGGTAGGTAGATGAGGGGGAGGGAGAGGGAGAGGGAGCGGTATTTACATATTATATATATAGTATATATATATATATATATATATATATTATATATATTATTAAATATATATATAATTATTATTAAATCTATATATCTATATATTATATATCATATTATCTATATATTTATATATTTATATATTATATATAATATATATATATTATTATATATAATTTTATATATATACTATATTATACTATATATATATATATATATATATATATATATATATATATATATAAATCTATAAACCTTCCCTCGCTATCATTACTACTTTCCTTCTCTCTAATTTCAATCCTCCATCTCTCCTTCATCTCTTTTCCTTTCTTCCCTGTTCTCCCTCCTCCACAGCAATCTTTATAAACGCCTTTATATCATCATCTTTTCCTTCTTCCTCTTCATCGTGGCGTTCCTCTGTCATCAAGGTTCTCATAAGTAAGAGTAATATCTCAAGATGAAAATGCTTGTTGAATGCTATAGATTTTCTCTTGATAAATGTATACGAGAGTAAAAAATGTATGTTTACTTTGTGTGTGTGTGTTATATATATAATATATATATATATATATATATATATATATATATATATATATATATATATATATATATATATTATTATATATATATACACACACACATATATATATATATATATATATATATATTATATATATATATATATATATATATATATATATATATATATATATATATATATATACCACCCCTCCCTCCTCCCCGTTATCCCTCTCATCCTCCACTCTTTCCCTCTCTCCTCCCTCCCCTTCTCTCCTTCCCTCTTCCTCCCTCCTCTCCTCCCTCCTTCCCTCCTCCTCTCCTCCCTCCTCCCCTTCCTCCTCTCCACCTTCCTCCTCCTCTCCCATCCTCCCATCTCCCTCCTTCCCTCTCCTTCCTCTTCCTCCTCCTCCTTCCATCCTCCCTCCAGATCTCCATCCCCCCTCCTCTCCATCCTCTCTCATCTCTTCAAGGATTCTGTCCAGATCTTCTCTCGCATCGCATCTCGGGACTTGTGATTCGACCTCTGACGTCAGTCTTCCTCGATAGACAGGCTGGGATGCTGCATCGTTAGGCGCTCCTCGGGATGCTCGCTCTCCCACGTTCGGAGGTGGAGCCCGGGGTAGAATTTTTTTTCTTTTTTATTTAGTTTTTTGTCTTTTTTTTTTTTTTTTTTGAAGGTTGTTGGTATGTTTTTTTTTTATCTTTAGCTTTTTATTTTTGTTGTGTGGTTGTTGGTATGTGTGTTTTTAATCTTTAGCTTTTTATTATCATTTTTTTTTGTGGTTGCTGTATGTTTTTTTTTTTTTTCTTTTTAATTTTTATCTTTAGCTTTTTATTTATTTATCTATTTTGTGGTTGTTGGCATGTGTTTTTTTTTCTTTTATCTTTAGCTTTTTATTTATTTTTTTTTTTGTGGCTGTTGGTATGTGTGTTTTTGTGTGCTTGTTTGCGTGTGTGTGTGTGTGTGGTATCCTTTTTTTTTATTTGTATGTGTGTTTGTGTGTGAGATTTTATTTTTTCTTCTTTTTTTATCACTGTGTGTGTGTTTTTGTACTTGTTTGCTTATGTGTGTGAGATTGTTCTTTTTTTTCTTCTTTTTTTTTATCACTGTGTGTGTTTTGTGTGCCTGTTTGCTTTTGGGTGTGAGATTTTTTTGTTGGTAATGGTGTGTGTTTTGTGTACTGTTTGCGTGTGTGTGTGAGGTTTTCTTCTTTCTTTTTTATAGTATGTGTTTGTGTGCCTGTTTGCGCTTTGTGTGTGTGTGTTGCGTGTGTGTGTGTTTTGTGTACTTGTTTGCTTTTGGGTGTGAGATTTTTTTGTTGGTATGTGTGTGTTTGTGTACCTGTTTGCGTGTGTGTGTGAGGTTTTCTTATTTTCTTTTTTATTAGTAGTTTTTATTAGTGTTTGTGTGCCTGTTTGCGCTTGTGTGTTTGTGCGTGTGAGTGTGTGTGTGTGTGTGTTTGCGTGAATAGGTATGTACAAACAAGTGCGTGTCATTTTACTTTCCTCAATTCCCTACTCTCTCCCTCCTTTTTCATAACATCGCTCACACATCTACCATCTACTTTTCCTCTTAAATTATAG